TCCCTCTCTTGATTTCGGTCAGGTCATGATCTCAGGGTAGTGAGATCAAGCCCCATGTCGGGCTCCATGTTCAGTATGGAGTCTACTTGAGATTCTCTCTCTCCCTCTGCACCGCCCCTCCCTGGCTCTCCTGCGCTCTCTCCCTCTCTAAAAAAAAAAAAGAAAAGAAAGAATTTGTGAACCCAATAGCTGTCATTTCTGAGTGCTACGTGATGCCAGGTCTGTCCATAGTGCTTTGACCAAGAATGAATTCTCACGACCAATTTATGAAGGATGTGATGATCATAATAAAAACCAGCAAATACTGTTTTACCCTTATGTATTCACTCCCTGAAAACATGTCTTGCATACCTATCGTGTGCCTAGCCGCCTTCCAGGCAACAGACACACAACAGTAAACAAACCAGATGCAGAAATGACTCCTCCCCCATCTAGTGGGGGGACAGATAATTTAAAAAGTTCTGTGGGGAAAAGTAAATAAAACGGGGAGGAATGGAAAGCACTGGGCGCGAGGGCGGGGGTATGTTTTATTGACTTGATAGTATTGACAAAGAGACTGAGTGACCACTTTGACAGAAGAGGAAACTGAGGCACAGAGAGGCCATTAGCCTAAGGTCTGGCTAGCCAAGAGACAGGACTCCTTACAGAGGTGGCCCTGACCCCAGGAGGGAGGACTTAGACTCGTTTGTCCTCTCCCTTGGGAAGGGAGGCATGCAATGACCAGAAAGTTAAGGACTCGGGTCTCAGAGGGGAGGAAATGGCTCAGCTCAAGGAGGGTCAAAGGCTGAGTAAGGGCTTGGTCAAGCAGGAGGTGTGGGGTTGGACGGAGGGGAAGCAAAGGGGTTAAGGAGATGGGGGCCTCCAGGCTGGGGACTCGGAGGGGTTCGGGAGGGTTGCTGCGGCAGCAGGTGAGGTTTCCCCGAGGCTGGAAGCCTGGAGTAGGGTGAAAGCCTGAAGGGGTTAAGGGGCGGTGCCAAGGGAGGGGTTAACGGGGGCGGGGC